GAGGCGGATATCAGCGATTTTTCGATAGAAAAACTCTTATTGTCAAGTAATGAAAGTGTGAATAAAGCATCTTCCTATATATTATGTTCTTCCTTTAATATGTTGTGTAGTCGGATTCCACCTTGCAGGTTCATGTAGAAGATTAATAATGAATGATGAAGAATGATTTCATTTTCTACTGTCTGGTTGCTCGAGTCCCTGTGGTCCACCGAAAATTCTCACTAGAAGTGATCTGACGCACAGATGGCTTGTCCATAGACGATTGTATGCCAATTGTTAATTAATTTAATTTTGTTTGTTTTTTATTCTAAATATGCAAAGTTTAATCACTGGTTTGTCATCAAATATCTATGCTAGAAACAATCACATATGCTTCAGAGCATAAAACTTGTGGTACAATGGAATCGTGCCTACTATCTTGTGATGATTTTTGTAGTTTACCAGTTTCTCTTTAGGCTAATCCATTTTGCTGCACCCTCTCTCCAGCTGACCCTACTCCGTTCCTATAATACATTTGTTCACATTTTCTTAAATTTTTGGCCCCCTAATAGTGAACTTGATATGACTTAAAGAATACGATAGAATATTATCTGGTTCTATATGCTGTGATAAACCAGGAAACCCCGTTTTTATTAGAACAGGAAAACGGCATAATTGATGACACAACACTATTCATTTGGAGAAAGGACGGGAACACGGCCCAAGGACATTACGTGCAGAAGTAGTGACGGGGGTAGTGGAAGCCGTGGTTCTGTGAAAATGTTGAAATAATCACACTCTCGCTATACGTGGAGTAAAATGAATGTAGCAAACGAAGCGGCACGAGGTTTCTTTCAGTTGAGATTGGGGTAATAGTTCGATTGCGGGCGACGTATAAGGAATTTTGACACGTTAAGTTTTGCACAAATTAAGAAGTTAAAGACATTTTAATTTAGGTTCGAATTTGTAACTTAAATTAAAATAGACTCCTCGTTCAAATGTAATTTATATTAGGATAGATCCATAGCCGGGAATATTTTTTATCAAGTTGAGTCGAAGATAGTCGCATGTAAGTGTTCATTTAAAGCAGTCAGGGCAAGTCACTCTCGCGAAATAATTTGGTTGCAATTATTGATTTTTATTTATGAAATTACAAAATAGTTTTGACTACACTTGGAAACCATTGCAAATCTATCTTGACGTTAGGCAATTTCACTACAATAAGGACATTAATGAGGACATCCTACGGACGATCTCAAGCTCATCAAGAATAAATTCAAATTTCTATTTGCTTCACAGACTGCTGATATCATCTGATTCATACTTTATTAGCTTAAGAAAATTCCATATACCAAAAACGCATGATTTGCCACGCGAAGTCATAAAATTATTGTCTGAGGTAAGTTCTCTCGAAGAAAAATGAAAAATCTAACCCATCGAGGTGAGTTTACATATTTAATTTACATACTTAATGTCAAAAAATGTTAAAACTGCATGCAACATTCTGAGGGGCAAAAGATTTAGTTACATTACAATATTACATTACTATAAAATAGTGTGAATGCTCATCATTTACTCAGAAAACCAATTAAAATCGAGAAGCAGTTAGTAGTAGCGAAATTTAAAGAAGATAATACATTAAAATTAAAATGTTTAAAATAAACATTCTCTATAATATAAGAATAAATATTTTAAAATCGAAAAATTATCGAAATGTTTTAAAATTGTGGATAAAGACACTTTATTCTTCATAAAACGTGTGTACAATTCGAAATATTTCGTATGTAATTTTATTAAAAATTTTTGAAATAATAAACATATCTTATTGGAACTTCGCATACTTAAAGAGTACTATATAAGAGATGCGCATACCAAATTGCATTCCATTTCAGTGAAATAGTTTCCAAGGTATTAATTTTTACGAGCTAGTGGCTCGAAATTACACACTGTGCGCTGTATGGAGCAGTTTCAGGTTGTCAAATGTGTGTTGATGAATAAGCTTTAAAGGAATTAGCTTTCGCACCTCATTGAGTATGTTTGGTAATGAGAAAATGTGATGGGTGGTATATAATTATATGGAAAGAAATTACGATTATAATATTATGCAACCATTACTAATAAGAGAAAGTACGTACTACTGTGGTACCACTCGTTCTCTAAGAAAATTGCTCGTAAAAATTATATTTATAATATCACATTTCCAGCTCATTCCAGCTCCAACAATTATTGATTACATTATTTGTTTACATTTTTAATTTATTAATAAGCCCAACTTGTTTTAATTGTTTTTGTTGCAAACAGATGTGCTTATAGAAACAATCAAAGCCCGACGATAACCAGTACTTGTGGTCGGTGTCCTACCCATTGGTTTCCCCCTTTTTCTCCTCCTCCTTCCCGCTACCTCCTCCCCCAGCTACTTGTTCGTTCTACCCAAATTACGTTTTTCCTTCATTCCTCTGGGCCCAACTCATTTAGTTCCAGATGTTGGGTATCATTTACGTGAAATATGTACCTTTGTTTTCTATGTCTGCGTTGGCTTATTCTAGCCCTCAGTTTCCTATGCATCTTATTTGTTCTTCAAAAATTGGGCTTGATCTTAAATGGATCCCAATTAATTATTTTTTTGTCCTATTGGCATAATGGTAATTTTCGTCACCTACTTGTGTTATACGCTAAAAATTTATTTAGCTTCCTTTCTTGAAAATATTATTATTTAATAATTTTAAATCCATTGTAGCTGTTGATGAGTATATATGTAAGCATATTTCGCCGTATTCAGATTTTATCGTATTATAATATGATTCATTTTTATTATATTATATGGCGATGTGAGCAACCAACTCACAAAATATCGTTAAGTTTGATAAGTTTTTAAACTTCGTAATTATAAAACTGGTTATCTCCATTATTGAATTGTCTACAAACTTTTGATAGTTTTCATCAAACTGTTACACTCATATTAATTTTCAGTAACATGCAGGTGTTTGTATTAATCCCCAAAGTAAGAGAGTTTTGGATATCTTTTCGTTGCAGAACAAACTTGTTTAATGTAATAACAAATCAAACTTCTCTTATTGTACATTCTCTAACTTTGCCGGAGTAAATATTTTCGAATAGTGCCTAACGACAGGAACAAACATACAGGTTTACTGTTGAAAGAAATCTAAGCAATGTTGTTTTTGTGGAGATCGGACTTGAATATATTTGTCTAAAATATGTCACTGCTCTTGTATTACTGTGTGATATATCTATGCTACTGGTCTAATTTACTCTACACTAGTGTTAAGCTGCGTAATATGTACCTTGAGAAAAGTTCTGTGGTATCTGCAAGGCTACTCCGAAATTCTCGAGGACATTAACCAAGGCATCCAAGAACATCGAAAGACGGAGAGTAATTTCCTTCTACACCAAATTCTATGAGACGCAATGGGAAACATTGTAGGAAAAAATGACTTATCCAGACGGGTTCCTAGGTTTTATAGTGTTGATTTATGTCTGTATATGTGGAAGAATCATGGAACCCAAAAAAATACCGATCAGAGTAGCCGGCCGCTAGAATTATCCTCCAGACAGCGACTGAATTCGACCCAGCAAAACTAGCTAGTGAAAAAAAATCCTGCTAACATAGGACCTCCTGGTCAGATGCATTGCAATGCAGTTGATGCCCTGAGTCACCTCTCCCGGTACGGTGGCCCTCAAATAGTTATTCTCTAGTAAAGAGGTTGAATGTAGTTAAAATGCGTTTGTCCGCTTTAAGACTAAAGGACGCCTGCGGTAGGACTCATTTGGAATAGTATTAGATTCTATAAACCGATTCCTAGTATTTTTCTTCAATGTATAGGCGAGGGTGGCCGTTATGTTCAAATAGTTTTTATTTCATTGCTCCCAACCCAACCATCGGTTTAGAATATCGAACAAATTATTTATAACTTTTTCAGTTTTTTGTTATATTAATCTCCTTTGCGCCTTTAAGATATTGGTATTTAACACGTGTTGTAAATTAGGATTCCTCACTTTCAGAGACTTTTCAGTGTAGTTTTTAGTAATGTAGTTTAAAAAAAATTGATCTGTAATATTTTGGTTTCTGGTGTTGCTGAACTCGAACCCAGTGTCAGAATTACATTTTTGATAATTTTAGCTGTTAAAACCTGTCATTAACTTACGTTAATTATTAATTTTATAAAAATGTTGAATATTGCTACCATTTATTGTTTTTTACAGTTAATAAAATTGAATTCAGTGCTGGATTTAATTTTTGACAATATTGCAGATGTACACTTATTGCAGATGTCTTATTTTACCTAAACTGACAATTTCATGAAAATATTTACGTTTAAAAGTTATTGATAGTAAAATAAAATAATATATTTTTCTTACCTGTGCCACGATTTACCTCACCGAGCGGTCGACCGTGTGACGTACTCGTTGCTTCAAGGCGTCGTGTCAACTGAAGGCTAGAGACCGTTCGGCGTGCGGCGACACTAGCGATATTGTGGTGCTTTTTGGTAACTATTAGGGGCAAAACCGACAGTTTTGTCTCGGTATGCAGAGTATTATTTTGGTTCTCGTGCCTGACGCTCAAAATTCCGACACTATCGCAAAATACTCTTAAACCTAGATAGGTCTACTTCTATGGCCATTGTGACTCGCTTGTACTTATGAAAAGTAAAGCAAACGATATAAAAAATAAATGTGAGTTGAAAAAAATAATTTATTTGAAATATTTTCCTTATTATTTGTTAGAAAATTTAAGTTCAAACGCATCACTATTTGCTGTAGTTTGAATGACTCGAAAACTGATTATGAAGCATCTTCATTATGATCACAAATGTGCGCCATTAGAACATTCTCTATGTAAAAGGGAATTGGGGAAGCATAATGCCATACATTTTGGTGATTATATTCGCCCAAAACGAGCAGGATTGTCAGCAAAAAAATTGTGCCTGATATATCTCATAGGCTATATCACCAACGTTTCGGTAAGGCATTAGGAAATGTATTAATACATATGTTACACAGTATATTCGATAAAATTGCGATTTTATTCACAAGCGATCATACATACACATATACACACGGAGATATACACGATGAATAGACTAGATGAAGTTTAACCACTCGCCGGGGAGTGTAGATAGCTGGCATTGCTACAATGACTTTCCTCGATCTGTAAAAAGAAAATAACAAATATTTATATTTGTTTCGTACAGAAGAAAGGTAAGTTAGCTCCTTTAACTTGGTGAATTCAGGGCAAGTGTTTTTTACACTTTATGTTAAAAACGCGTTAAGTCGGTCGCAATAATTTTATAGTTTATAGTTATGATAAGTAATTAGAATTCTTTAAAACTCAAAATTTACGAAAACATTTCATTAAAACTATAAAATATTGTATTTCTTTAAAAAATAACACGAGTATGTTGACGACTTCAAACTTAAAAATAGTTGCTAAGTTGCTTGTTAAAAGTTCTGTTCTGAAATAAATTTAGATGTTGGAGAAATACAAATAACGTTTAAAAGCATTTATTAAAAGATTAATTTTTAAGTTCCTTTCCTTCTTAATGCCCCTATGTCAAGTTTTCCCTGAAGCTAGGTTAATTTTAAAAGTCTTGAATCTTTTGTCCAATTCATCAAACTATTCATTTTCCATATAACGAAGTGGTAGCAATGAATTTCAAATTTCTTCAGTTTGAATAATTTGTATATACATTATGTACAATATAAAAAAGGATTATATTATCCTTAGAAACAATTTTTGTTAGAATAGCAACACAAGTTAAAAATTTAAATGTGAAAAGATATTCTACGATTAGCTAAGATGGTGAGATTAGACAACAAATTAGTAGCTTTCAAAGGCGAAATTTTTATGAACTCGAAATTTAAAAGTCCATTTCAGAAATATGTTCATTTTAGAAAAGTGATATCTCGGGACATAGGACACTAGGTTAAGGGAAAATGTATCTGCCCGGAAATCCTACGTTTATACGTACATCACGCGGCTGAATTTAGGTATCAGATCTTCATCTAGACAAAAGTATTCTTGTGAATGTAGAGAATCAACCTGGTTAGAGTAGCACGTTCACCACGTGGTTGAGGATGTAGCATATGTAGGATTATTCTACCAAACGTGTGGGAAGAACCCATCTGCTTAGAGTAGCTGTATTTGTCGTTCAACAGCCGTCTGAGGTAAACGATCGGGATAGGCGGAGGGAATGCCAACCTCGATTTAAAGACTGGGAGAGATGGCTCAATATATGAACTGACATCCCTCCAGTCCCTTGACATTGAGGTCCTAGCTTCGAGTCTCGCCGGTGCCAGAATTTTCCACACTAGCCAGATAGCTAAATCTAGTTCTGTGACGGTCTGGAGGAGAATTCTATCTGCCGGCTGCTCTGATCTGTAGTTTTCCGTGGTTTCTCCGATTAACACCAGGCGATTGCCGGAGCAGTTCCCTTTCAAACGGGCCACGAACTGCACGCGATCTCTCCTAGCTCTTCCTTGTCCTTTCCTCATCCCCTACACACACTTTCACTAACATGTACTATATTATCAGACATGCCGACAGGCCGGTCAGGAGCTTATAGCTTGTCCCGATTGGAGTGCTGCCCTCGGGAGTTGCCTGGTTGAAGAAAACCCTGCTAGCCGACAGTGGGTCGGCGTTGCATCTCGCCACTCAGCGAGGGAAGATCAACGTCACCTCCCGAGCAAAAACATGCACTACATTTATGGGATTAATGACCTTGTTAGTTGACGCGCCCGGTCTCACTAACAATCACTCCAAAGATGTAGAGAATACTGGGGTGGATTTAGGTAATATGAAAAATGAAAAGAACCAACCAAATTAGAGTACATACCGCACAGGATCGAGGTAGGTGAAGCAGAAAAACAACTTTTCCAGCTTAAGTGAGTGTGAGAGAAAAAAACCCCTTGGAACTGCGTTCAGAGATCTAGATCGTGGCTGTAGGCGAGATACCAGCCTATGTAGATAATGTAGCAGATGACCGGATTGAGGATCTCGATCTATAGAATAATGTGGAGCAGTATCTAGTCGTAAAGGATGTGGACGACCAATCTGTTTGTAAGAGAAGCGTTTAGACCTCCAGCATATCTTATGGTTGAGGTAGAAAATGAAACAGAAAGAGAACAATTCCTCCTAAAGTGAGTATGGAGAACAAATCTAACTAGATTAACTGTCCCAATTTGTTGACGTGGATAATGTCTGAGATATACATCTATCTCACCAACAGTTTGGACGACCAACCTGTTTGTTCATTTACACGACCAGCACATGCTTGAGGTATGCGATGTACCAGATGGTCACCTTGAGGATTTGTATAGAAAAGGGAGAAGTGTCCGGAAAACAAACTTGTTCGTACAATCTGCGCGTTTACACGTCCAGCAAGTGATTGATGTATGCAATGTAGAAGATGAAGAATCTCACTAGATTAGAGTGAAGTGTCTCGAGAACCAACCTGTTTGCGGAAGCTGCACGTTCACACGTCCAGCACGTGGTTGAGGTAGGCGATGTAGCAGATGGCCAGCTTGAGTATCTCTACCTATCCGCATGGGCCTGGTGTATCGGGACTCGGCTGTTCCTTCAGACAGCAAGTGAATCCACCGGGAGGGGGACATCCCTGCAGTGTTTTTGGTGTGTCCGCAGGGAGCGTGATCATGCACTGGTGCGCAGCACAGCGCTCGGAGGGCCGGACGGGCGGCTGGATGCCGGCTCGCGGGGAGCGGCGGCGACGGGGCGGCGCGTGGGCGTGTGCGGGGCGGCGGTGACGGCGCCAGCGGGCTCGGGGCGTGCACGGCTGGCGGAGGCAGCCGACATGCGCCCCTCAGCGGGAGGAAGCGCGGCGGCGAGGTGAGTGCTTCCACAACACAGCCGACACGCGAAGGGTGCATGCTGCACTTCACTGTCTTTTTTTCTCAGTCTTTCTGTCACATCTTCTCTTTTGGCATTCTCTTTCTTTATCTTCCATGTCGCGTTCTCTCTCTTTTCTTACCCAACATTCCATCTCATTTCCATCCATCTGATCTCTCACTCTTTTTGCCCTTTCCGTTCATTGCTGCTCTCCTCTTTTATCTTTTCGTTTCCTCTCTCCGGTCCTACCCCTTTATTCCATTCTTTTCTCGGCCTCTTTTGTCCTTTTCCTCTCTCTAAATTTTCTCTTCTCTGTTGCTCTTCTCTTGTCTTCTCTTCTCTGTCTCTTGCCTCGTCTCTTGCCTGTCTCTGTCTGTCTCTGGTCTGTCTCTTGTCTGTCTCTTTCTGGCTCTTGGTCTGTCTCTTGTTATGTCTCTGGTCATGCTCTCTTGTCTGTCTCTTGTCTGTCTCTTCTCTTCTCTTGTCTGTCTCTTCTCTGTCTCTTCTCTGTCGCTTGTCTGTCTCTTCGTCTGTCTCTTCTCTGTCTCTATGTCTGCTCTTCTCTTATCTCTTCTCTGTCTCTTCTCTGTCTCTTCTCTGATCTCTTCTCTGTCTCGTCTCCCTTTTCTATCTCTTTTTCTCGTCTCTTTCTGCCCTCCATTTTTCGTTTCCCTTTCGCTTAACTTTGTCTTCCACTTCTCCTCCCTTTCTGTCTCTTCACTTGCGCTTCGCCTTCTCTTTTATTCCATTTCCTTTTTTCCTTTTTATCTTGTCCTTTGTTATCTTGCCTTTCTTTCACTTTTCCTTCTCTTTCACCTATTCAGCTATACTCTTCCGTGTCTCCTAACCTGCCTCGCTTTATTCTGTCCATCTTGTGCCTCGCTGGAACCGGCTCATAGCAGTAGAGATTTGCAGGGGCGCCAGTGAGGGTCTCAGTTGGTTGCGTGGGCGTGCGCGGGGGCGTCGTGCGCAGGCGCGCGACGCAGAGAGTACCCGCACGGCGCACGCGACGCGGCGAGCGCATTCGAGTGGAGGCGTTCAAAGACGTGGCGTTTCGCGCAGCTGCGGCCGCCTGCTGCGCCACGCTGCCCCCCGAACAAGGGAAGCTGCTCCAAGACCGGATCTCAGCTGGCCATCTGCTACATCCGCTACTCAACACAGATCTCTCTCTGGTG